CTTCTTTGCCCTCTGAAGAAGAAACAAGCCACATGTTGTTTTACTGACGAGTCAGACATGGGCTGGGATGCGAAATGTTCTGGAATTGTCCAGGGTGCGGGAATCTTCGGGCTGTTGGCCAGGCATAGTCTAGCTGGGGATGGCCCTGGAGATGAAATCTATCTCAACTGTGCACGAGCTTGTAAGTAATCATGTCTGAGCTCAGCTTTTGGCGCTGTCGGTTTAAAATAACAAGCTTTTTTGCTGGTGGTGGTGCCCCTTGGGCTTGAAGAAAAAGGGAAAGGAAGAACCCAACCGTGGAGACGGGCGTCAGGTACCCTTTCGATATAACAGGTTGATAGGGAAATAGGGTGTTTGTTAAAACAAAGGAGCTATCTTGGCGCCGTCGTGAATTAGGGAAATCATTTGTCTATCAATATCCTTTTCATCTCGACGTTTGGGTTTATCAATTCTGCTCGGTTCGGTATCAATGCCTGCTACAAATTCAGGGCGGGTTGGTGCGGTAGGGCGACTTGGGCTCCCTAAAACTGATAGATGATGCCCTGAAGACCAATCAGTTATACGGAGGAGCAACAAGCCCGGACGACCTAAAAGGGCATAAAGCACCCGGCCTGGACTTAACCTAACTGCTGGGGGTTGCAGGTACAGATTACTTTGAAGAGGCGTAGTCTGGTTGCTCTGACTCTTTCTTCATAGGGGGTCAATTTTAAGACATTATTCAATGGTTGCAAAGACAACAGAATGTTTTTTAATAGTTGACTTTGAATGCTTCTCCTATTCAAAGCTGCTTCCAGCTTCTTCATCGCAATTCTATGAATATTGGCATATCTTACCTAATGTCATATCGACAGCTTCCCATTCATCCCCATGCAAAAGCACATGTACCCAGTACAAACCCCTCGGTTGTCTTTTCGATCGCACACCCTCCCTCGTCTGTGCAACCCACACCCTTCATTATTGATTGATTGATTGATCGACTGCTTGCTTGCTTGCTCTCTCTTTCTCTCGCTCTCCTCCTCTTCATCTTTTTTTCTTCCAGCATTTTACCTGTCTTGTCCCTAGACAAGCATAAACCCCCAATACGATTCGATCTCTTTAGCTATGGCGACGGCCATGGAAGCGGCCGACCCTATGTCGTCACTCCAGAGGTCCGTCTCCCAGCACAGCAGCGCCTCATATGCGTCACACGCCTCTCACGTATCCCACACCTCGAATCGAAGCTCCAGAAGCAACCGAAGCGCAACTGTCAGAGGCCCTCGCGGTCGAAAGCGTCCCAGTCAGCCTGTTAGCTCTGCGAGTAGTATAGCTGCCAGCGACAAGAGTCTCACGAGCTTTCCTAGCTTCTCACCCGAAAGCCCAGGCAATGATCCCCTCAGTGGACAAGACGATGCTCCGGACGAAACCCCCGTTCCCCCGGCTGCGGCCCCGGATGTTGGGCGCAAATCGATAGTTGATCTGACTGGAGGCTCAGATGTGCGAAGTGCCTTGTTCGAAGAGGATCACCCGGTGCGCAAGGTACCAGGCTCGTTACATAACGCCGATGACGAACACCTCCAACGCTTGATATCGCGGCACGGCGCCATTGGACTTATCAGACAAATATCCGAAGACCTCGCACAACGAGATGCCCAGATTGCCAATATGCGCCGCCGCGCAGATGAACGAGAAAGGGCCTTGCGCAAGATCATTCGAGAATGCGGCCTCTCTAACCTGGATCTTGAAACTCGCCTACGGACTGTCGAGGCTGAGCTACGCGCGGCCAACAAGGGACTCCGCAGAGAGGATACTGGATTAAGCGACCTCATGAGTGATGCGATGCAAGACACCGTAGTGGCTATTGCGTATGGCGAGACAGTCGCTAAGAGCTCTACCATCCGCGCAAGCAGCCAGTCTTTGAGCAACCCCAGTGAAAATGGCAGCGGCAAGGGCACATTAAAGGGGTGGAAGGATTATCTCTGGGGCTCTGGAACCGCAAAGCGAGGTAGTCGTACTAATAGTATGAACGGCGAAGGAGTAAACCCTACAACTGTGATCCGATCGCACTCTAGTATGGACCGACGACCAACGTTACAGGAGGATCTCTTCAGTCCACCAGACACGCAATCTACTCGAAGCCCAAGCCGAGCGTCAAGCATTCAATCGGGCGCAACTGGCGAGCGCAAAGCATCTTCATCGCTTGCAAGCATGGCCCTTCGTTTAGTGGCAGGCGGAGCTATAAGTACACGCGAGGCTGAGTCTCGAGGCCGTGCTACGAGCACTACCTCCAACAAGGGTGGTTCTCTCCGAGCTGTCTCGACTACAAGCAGCCGCGCGGGTCAGTCTCGAGCTGTGTCGATCGCCGGCGGTCCCAAGGCATTGATGGCGATGCGTAAAGCGACACCAGGACCATCTGCCCAAGGATCAGGCCGATCACAGGGGCAAGAGGCTTGGGACAGCATGCGAGGCAGCCCTCCGGATGACCTATCATCTCGACAAGAGAGCTATGGGCCTGTGGAGATGGATGCTATTCGGTCACCAGAGTCACAGCCACCAACGTTAACACATATTTATAACAACTTTCCGAACAGCGAGTATCTGACGGACCGGTTTGGATTTATTTACGATCAGCGACGCAAGAAACGACAACGCGAGGCGGCGCAGGTGGCTCGACATATTCGTAAGGGCAGTCGAACAGAGATGCTGGCAAACGGCCGAGGTGGCATTTCACCTAACGCGTTAGAGGATCTTCCTAGCCCCAAGGGAAGTGTGTCGAGCGAGGGACGTCCTGAGAGCCTGAACAGCATGGAGGAGCGTAACGCGGAAGAGGGCAAAGCTAAGAGATGGACGGATTATCTGAAAATCGCAACGTTTCCTACGGAACTGCTGAGTCACACGCCAAGCATCGCGATACCGTCAATCGAAGTTATGGAGGGAGCTCAGACACCCGAGCCAGAACTATATCCCACCGAGCCTGTCAAGCCAGTAATCGTTTCAACCAACTCCGGTCTTATTCCTTCAGCTAGCACAACTACTGCAGTGGACAGTGAGACCTCACGGCCCTCTCAGTCTGAATCATCCATCGCACTCACCAAGGACGATACCGAACCTGTCAAGCTTCTTCTCCAGCAACTGAGCGATGTCCACGATGCTCTTCAGCGTGAAAAGACAGTTCGATGGAACGATTTCCTTCGAAAGGTGCGCGCCGAACGCAAGCGAGAGGGCGAAGCCGCTATTGCTGCCGCCAAATCCGCTGCTGATGCTCGCTACGAACAACCTGCCATGATCCTCCCTGAAACTCGAGTTGCCGATGGTGAGATGATTGGAGTTTCAGGCCTCGGCGTCAAAGGAAAAGTCGGACGAGCTAAATGGAACGAATTCAAAACCCTGGTTCTGGGCGGCATTCCTGTCACCTATCGCGCCAAGGTGTGGTCAGAGTGTTCAGGCGCTGCAGCCCTTCGTGTCCCTGGCTATTACGAAGACTTGGTCGCTCAAACCGGTGAGGACGACGATGCCGTTGTTGTAAGTCAGATTCAGATGGACATCAACAGGACCTTGACGGACAACATCTTCTTCCGTAAGGGACCTGGTGTCAAGAAGCTGAACGAGGTCTTGTTGGCGTACTCCAGACGCAATAAGGACGTGGGATACTGTCAGGGCATGAATTTGATCGCTGCAAACTTGTTGCTCATGATGCCCTCTGCCGAGGACGCATTTTGGATTCTTACTTCAATCATCGAGAATATCCTGCCTCACGGCTACTACGACCACTCGCTCATGGCCTCCCGCGCAGATCAACAGGTTCTACGACAGTATGTCTCGGCAATCCTCCCCAAGCTCTCAGCACATCTCGACTCGCTATCCATTGAGCTCGAGGCCTTGACGTTCCAGTGGTTCCTCTCCGTCTTCACCGACTGTCTCAGCGCCGAGGCCCTCTTCCGCGTCTGGGACGTCGTCCTCTGCACCAACGACGGCAGCACATTCCTCTTCCAAGTCGCCCTCGCCCTCCTCAAGCTCAACGAGGGAAACCTGCTACAGTGCAACACGCCCGCTGGCATATACACATATATCAGCCATCAGATGACAGAGCACGCCATCAGCATCGACGGTCTTCTGCAGGCAAGCGAGGGTCTACGAAAGGTTATTCGCCGAGAAGACGTTGAGCAGCGAAGAGAAAAGGCTATTCAAGCTGAAAAGGATATGATCATGGCTCGAGATGGAGACTCAGCTCGAAGCAAGCCCACAGCCGAGACGGAGAGCGAAACAGCTGCAACTCAATCAGGAGAAGAGTAAAAAGCAAGCGTTAAAAAGTAAAAGATAAGATGGATAGAAGGCGTGTGATTGGATCAGGGATCTTTTTTCTTCCTTTGGGAGTTTATTGTTTTTGTTTGTGTCTCAGAAAAGGCCATGATACCCACACCCCTGGACCCCTCCCAAAACATAGACGTGGTTGTTTGTCCAGGGGAGTTGATGCATTACGGCGTTGGGATATTATCGAATTGGAAGGGTTTTACGGGGCATTGGCTTGTTCATATACGAGGGGGCATAAGAATAAATACGAAAAGAATCATCATTACTATATCTTGCATGTGTTCTATGATGATGTGGCACTTTTTGAGGAAAAGAGAATATCCCCAGCTATCTTCTATTGGTCTGCCTCTTAATTCAGCCACGACTGTAAAGAATATGTAAACAATGTCGAGAATTATAAAAGTCTCGGAAGAACATTAGTACAAGGTTTAGGATCAAAACCCGAGGTCGGACCATAGAAGCCTCAACTTGTCAAAGATTCACAAACATTGAGAGCATTGTTGTAACATTACTCAAGTCTTTGGATTGAAAAGCTAAAGATAAGGTAAGAATAGTCTAAAGTCGTCATCCCTCATGTCAATAAAAGTCCCATCTCATACTCTCCGTTTTGGTATCTAATGCACTGCGATCCTCTCGTTTTCCTTGTCAAGGTCCTCGCCATTGTCTTTGCTGGGTCCCTCTCCATTGCCCTTGTCCTTGCCATTCCTACCATTCTATGGTTTGATTGTAGACATCTTTCTCGCATTCTGTTGCATGAGAGCATCAGCCACCATGATGGCCGCCATTCCCTCGACGATAGGGACAGCACGAGGCACAACGCAAGGGTCGTGTCTTCCCTTAGCAGCGAGAACACCCTCGCCTGAGCCATCGTAGAGTGCTGTGATCTGGTCCTGGCTGATGGTGGCAGGAGGCTTGAAAGCGACTCGGAAGAAGATGGGCATGCCATTGCTGATACCACCTTGGATACCGCCGGAATGGTTCGTCTTTGTTTGGAGTCTTGAGCGAGGAATGCCTGTCCTCTGGGTGGCAGCGTCGATAGCAGGTGCTGGCACGAAAGGATCGTTATGCTTGCTGCCAGTCATCTCAGCACCATGGAAACCGGAACCGTACTCGAAACCCTTGACAGCGGGAATAGACATCACACCGTGGGCAAGACTAGCCTGGAGCTTGTCGAAGCAGGGCTCGCCAAGACCAGAGGGCACATTGCGGATAATGCAGGTGACTGTTCCACCAGTGCTATCGTGCTCGTCGCGCAGCTCTGCAATGCGGGCCTCCATGGCTCGGCCAATGGCGTCATCGGGGCATCGGACAGGAAGATTTTCGTCAACTTGTTCACGGGTGAGAGTCTCGCAGAGACTGAGGAAGGCAGGATCGGTGCTCATGGCATCTGTATCAGCAAAAAGCTTGATTGTTCCGACAGAGCTGACAAAGGCAACAATTTCAATGTTGTAGGTCTGCTTCAGCCACTTCTCGGCAACAGCACCAGCGGCCACTCGAGCAATAGTCTCGCGTGCAGAGCTGCGACCGCCACCAGAAGAGGCCTTAACCCCGTACTTTTCGAGGTAAGTCCAGTCTGCGTGGCTGGGACGGGGGTACATGTCGATGGTCTTATCACCGTAGTCCCTTGGTCGCTGATCCTCGTTGGGGACGGTCAATAGAATCGGTGTTCCGAGAGTGACACCATTCTCGGTGCCAGAGTTAATGGTAACGCGGTCCTTCTCGTTACGAGGCGTGGTGATGGCCGATTGACCTGGCCGACGACGGTTAAGCTGAGGCTGGATATCGGCCTCTGTGAGGTCCAGACCGGGAGGGCAGCCATCGATGATACACGAGATAGCTCTTCCATGTGACTCGCCAGCACTGCAAGACAAAGAAATGACTGTTAGCTGGGCTGTATATCGATGGTGGGGTACAGCAAGGAAGAGCGGGAAGAAAGAGAACTTACGTCGTCACGCGGAAGATCTGCCCAATGCTGGACATGATGAATGTAATGTGATGATGATTGTGTTTATGGTGATTGTGTTGATGATGGAGAGAGAGATAAAGTGTTCTTGTTCCAATGGTTGATGAGTTGTTTTGTTTTGTCTTTGACAAAGGAAGAAGAAGAAAGATGGCGGCCGTTGGAGAATTGGAAAGGATGAGGCTGTTCTTGGTCTGGAGGGGAACTTCGTTCTTGGTTCCTGCCGATTTCGGTCCAAATTTTTGTGCGTTTGGAAAGCGCGGGGGAGGGGCAACACGGTAGATGTTTTGTGAGCGATCTGATTGGCCAGTCAAGATAGCCTCAGTCGATGACTTTAGTTGATGTCCCAAGAATTATCAACTCTTGTAGGATAGACGCTAGGTTATCAGATAAAAAACATGAGCTATCATATAACTTGGAAGGACCATATTACATACCTGTCGTTAAGCGACATCGGGCCGCTGTTGCTGTGACTCAATTGATGTTCCTCCATGCATCTGGTCTGATTCCATAAAGTCTGGATAATCGCTCTTCCGCAGTAAAGTCAGAGCCAATACCAACCCTCCCTGTAGTTTCAGGGGCATACCACTAAAGCCAGTTGCCCAGAGCCCAGTACCTCAGTGAGCAATCTGCCATTCTCCATCTCAACGGATACAAAACGTCATGACAAAACAAATCTCGATCCAGATTATCAATCAATTTCTTCTCTTCAGTCGGTACTTGCCTTTTTCTGCAAGGCACAGCGCTCTCACTGGCTTGGATGTTTCCCGAACCCGTACCCGCTACCGTCCGTTGCGGAACTGAAACTGCCCCTATCCGTTAAGTTTACAGGGCTTTCAGCGCCCTATTTCCGTTCCGCGGCGGGGTCAGCTTCAATTGGAGTTTTCCGCCTCCGGGGCTGACAACAACTCAACGTTTGTTTCCTCAACTCTTTTGCTCATTGGATATCATTGGATACAGCAGCTTCAACGACGATCTCATCCATTGCCTTGGGTAATACCGTATTTCCGGTCCAATTGCATTGTCTATCTGTGACTCTTACTTATTAATCCTCAAATTCTATTCCGATATTGACTCTTGTCATCATCATGCGGCCCAATCGCTCGTTTTTGGGCTCAACGCCTCGAAACTTATCACGACATTTCCCCTCATTCTCAGCCATATCAAGACGCCAATTCACCGATGCAGCTTCTCATTCATCCAATAAGATCCAAGTTTACACTTCAACTTCTCGTGATCCCTTCCTGAACCTCTCTGTTGAGCACCATCTTCTCCAGAAGACGCCCCCTGAGTCAACCATACTCTTCCTCTACACCAACGATCCTTGTATCGTCTTTGGTCGAAACCAAAATCCATGGATGGAAGTGAATCTTCGAAGACTGGCCCAGTTCCGTAATGATCCTGCAAGCGTAGGTTGGACTGGTGGGCCAGTGCAGCTTGTTCGTCGCCGTTCAGGGGGAGGCGCTGTTTTCCATGATGAAGGAAATGTCAACTTTAGCGTCATTTGCCCTCCTGCAGTGTTTGACCGGAACAAACACGCCGAGATGGTCGTAAGAGCTCTCTCCTCTCTTGGAAAGCCGAATACGCGTGTCAATGAGCGACATGACATCGTTATAGATATCCCTGATGACCCAATCGGCACCTACAAGATCTCAGGGTCCGCGTATAAACTCACTCGTCTTCGATCTCTTCACCACGGAACATGTCTTCTGCGCAGCCCAAACCTGAACAACATCTCAGGCATGTTGCGTTCGCCAGCTGAGCCGTATATCAAGACTCGTGGCGTCGACAGTGTCCGCAGCCCTGTCCGTAACGTCGGCATCGAGAACGCTGCTTTCGAGGCTGCCGTTGTGGAACAGTTTGCAAGTATGTACGGCGATTTCGACGTCAGGGAGATCATCAGTGACAAGGTACTTGAGATGGACAGTATCAGCAAAGGGTACGAGGAACTACAGTCGCGGGACTGGATCTATGGCCAGACACCCAAATTCACCTTCTCGACTTTCCCCTACGAGGAGGACCCTCGAGAGCGTCCTCAACTGGACTTTGATGTGAGTGACACGCCACTTGGCAGAGGCATACGACGAAGCAACTAACGGGGACATAGACCAAGCTTCGTTTCGAGGCTAGACACGGTGTCGTAGACAAATTCACAGCCGAAGGCCCATCATCCCCTACCTCAGAAGACGGTCTGCCATCACTCACATCATCACCCATCTACAACGTCTCCAGCTGGGGCGCACAGCTTTTCCAAGCTGGCATGGCCGATGACGATGCGGCAAAGGTCGGGCCATGGATGGACGACATCTTGGGAGTCGACTTCACGAAACCCCGACAATAATGCCGCCGTTGTCTGAACAGGCTGCAACATGATACACGCAATGTCAGAGACGCCAACACAAGCAATCTCTTCCGTGCTGTCCGTCTCTTTCATACACCACTTCATACTCGGAGCATTCCATTATTTTGCCCGGTTCTCTTGTCATGTCTCACTCAGAACGCGAAGGCGAATCCGAATAGACCCGGTGACTGCCTAGCCAATTGGTAATGGTTAGCATGTGAACTTGGCACACCATAGTGGGAATGCCCACACACCTTTCGGAGCAAAAGAGAGCAAGGCTGGCTGAGCCTCGCACGCGTCGCGTTCAATCAAAATGTACGCGTTGCACTTTCTTCGCCGCTTCACGGTCTGGGTCATGCTTGGAACCAATATTATTGGAAGCGAGAAACAGATTCCGGTGTCCAAATGGTGGGAAGCTTGTGGGCAGCTAAGAGCATCACATGGCTTGTCAGCCGACCTAGGGTCCAGTCCATCCATCACGCATCAAAAATTCCCAACATACGCAGCCTCTCTACAGTGTAGTCTGTGCTCAGCACCACCTCCTTCAGCCTCCCGCTGCTTGATAGCCTGATAGGTGACAGTCTTGATCCTGCCTTGCTTCCAAATCCGGCGCACTGTCTAGATCTCATGATATGACTGGCTGGGTCGTTTTGACAAAGATCATTGTGTGGCTGCTAATAAAGCAGCTGCTTCTGCGGTGAGGATTGTGAGACACTTGGCAAAGGTATTGGAATCAGACCACGGGCTGCCGTGGCTGCCGCGTACGAAGCGAAGGAAAGGGGGCAAGACCCCGAAAGATGTATGGGGTTGCAGTCTTGAGCATCAGCTTGCTTGATATCAGGTTTTTCGAAACAAAGATCGACAGCCTTACGAAACAGCCGGCAAAAGGAGGCACAGGGTTCGAGAAATCTCCGGTATTCAGCTCTCTTTGGACTTCCACGAGGCATGAACAATTTTTGGACGAAAAGAGATGAGGAGACGCGGTAAAAGCGTTGGTCCTTGTCGTGAAACTGTGCAATCCTATGGCGATATCCTTTTGAGTTTATTCTGTATATTAGCCTTGCTCTACAAAAATGTCCGGATTCTTATTGCAACCCCTTCGGGAGTCTCTTGAGATCTTGAGATGGAGTGTACCAATCCACTCACAGTCTAAGGACATTGGCTCCGAGACATGCATTGATGATCTCGCGTGGTGATTGCGACTCTATCGAATTCGTCCCCAGCGCTTAGGTTGTTCCGTTTTAGTGTCGTCACCAGAAAGGCGGTGTCAGGAGTTAAGGCTGCGATTGTACAAGTAAGATAGAGTCTATCTCGTACGGGCGCAAAACTGTGATTAAAGCTGAGTGGCTTCCGCTCTCCTGGGACCCTGGACCCAGACTTTGACCTAGGGCTGATCTGATGTAAGTCGTGTACCGCAGATAAGGCAGGCTATTGTAATATTAGATATCCGTGTTTTCGACTTGCTTCAAGGCTCTCAACTTACCCTGTTCATTCGGATGTCTTACCATGGTCATGTTGACCTAAATACGGGTATCGTCGACATTAATCAATACGACCCTGACTTGACTTGGGTGATATCCGGATTCGTATCAACGCAACCCTCATGAGACACGAGACTATTCCCAAAACTCTTGGGGGAATCGATAGTTGATCTGGGGTACGGTAGCCTGTGAGTAATCAATCAGTGAGCCCTTGACCCTCCAACATTGCTCACCAAAGACGACATCATATTGACGTTGAACTAAGACATGCCTTGCTTCCCCACACCACCAACACACATGAATGGATGGATGGGTCCATCCTGTCTCCATTTCTACCTTCTGGGATCCGCAAAAGCGAGCATGTTCTGCATGAGCATGAGCCTACCCCAGCCCCAAGCTCACTCGCCCAACAAATAGCCTATGGAATTGTCTCATTCAACAGTCGACAAGCTGTCCATTCCCGCCCGTGGCGTTCAGGGATGTCTGTCCGTCTCTAATCTAGAGGCGCAGGCACATGTGAATGCTCAAAAGAAGACTGTTTTGACAGTCTCAACAACCAGTTTTGACCAAAACTGCACCCACCATCTCTATCTATCACCAGGCTTCGGAGGAGTAACCTCGACGCCGACTCATGTCGTGTCGATGATGGCATGATGCTGTGTTCATGGCCTAGTGAATGTCAGGGGTGTTAGATCCTCCGATCCTCGTCCGTATCCTCTCACTCAACCATGGCGATTTCCATGCGAAGTCCTCGGGTAGGTAGTGGAACTGTTTTGCTTGCTTTTTCTTCAACAACCCTGTTCCTGGTGTGATTATAATCGCTCACACTCGTACCTTCAACCCCGGTGAAGGTAACGACTCAGCGTGTATTTCATTTCAGCCATTGATAGCAGTAATGTTCTATCTTGCTATTCAGATACTAGCCAGAGGAATCCGTATTACAACCTCTAAGCTGTGTGTGGGCGAGTCCGGCAGTCCAATATCATGAAGGATTGTATAGCAATGTGGCTCAACTACCAACAGCCTTAGAAGTGCTCGGGCGATCACCAAGGCTGACGAATCAGTCCAAGCATCATTCACCAACCACTGCTTGTCTTGATCAGCGGTGACAAGTGTTTATGTGAACCTAGAGCTGCAATAAAATAGCCAGGTCTATCATGCTCCGTCCCCAGGCTGCAAGAAAACTTGAGGCCTTAATGAAAGATGTCAAAATAAACTTGTCAAATAGTCACCCAAATTTGGAACATTTTCCCTGACTCTTTTCGTCATCGATGATGAAGATCACAAGTTTTCTTTTCTTCCCCAGTCCGTCTGGTTTATGGAGCACCATCTCCGGGAATTAGTACATCTTTCATTTTGGCTGCCGTGTTCTGCTGGATCTGAAGATCTATTTGCAGTTCTCGTCAGTAAGTTTCTGTCCGGGGGAGGGGTACTAAGGTTCATTAGCCATCAATCTGTCTGTGCTCGTATACAGGGGTAAGGCTGGTATCTGCGAGCAATCCCACGAGATACCTTGGGGCCAAGTCCTTTCACAGTGCACTTTGTTCACTGCCTTGGCACACAAGCATGTCAGGAGTTAGCTGCTAGAAGAGTCAGCCGAAATGGCTTAGACCAGAGAATACAGTGTGCCTCTCGACTGCGGCCTTGACCCTGAATTTATGACGAATCATTTTTTATGATATCAAGAAAAGAGTCATTGGGTGATTTGGGGAAAGGCCTCGTGTGTGTATGTACATACTGTACGACGGTAGACCAAGACCTGCAGCGTGTTACTGGCGACTATCATTTCTAGAGTCAGGCAGTAAGGTGTGCGCAATTGCCGAGAACGAGGGTAGCAAAAGTTGAAATCACCAACATTTGATGGTAGGACGAGCGTTATATGCAGTTTGGTGTGACAATCGTTGTTGACGAAAGGCGTTGATCAACGCTGACGGGCATTGTGATAGCACGGACTGTAATTGGGCCTTTATCAGATATGACAGGGAGAAATATCCCGAATTGGAAATAAGAATATCACCCTGTACTCCGTTGAGAGCAGCTAAAGTGCGTGAGAGGTTGTAGTTGATCGCTCAAGACGTGCAGTGAGCACGAATTATCTTCCTCCAGCGACTTTCCCCAAGAATATTATTCGTCAGTCCGTGGCTGAAGTTCCCGTCTTACCATTTTTGGCATCTTTGACTCGGCAATGTAACGCCCCGGAACGCCTTTCAAGAACATGACGAGACAGGTGCAGTGCCTCATTCGCTGGAATTGTGGAAGACACCATCCTGCTCTACCGTCGCTTACGGCGGGATCAACGTTTCCAGGTACGGTACGGTCGGAGTAGCTGACCAAGGTTCTTCAAGACCAGCGGCAATCAGCGGGCATCCAATATTCCTTTTTCTGTCACATAGAAGGGTTCTTGATAATCACACCTGACTCTGGTAGTATGTGCGGCATGTCGGTCATGTTAGGAACTGTAGGACGTTCTTCGATCCAAACAAATAACAGCCATTTCTATGATACTCGAGTTGATATAGTCTGATATGCCACAATTCGAGTTATGGCCCAGTAGAATATCTGGAAAATCACCGTAGCACCCCCTGCCGCTTGCTGTGCATTGTGCCCATGCAATGCACAGGGTCAGGGTCAACTTGGAGCGGGATCATTCGTCTGCCGATTCTGTGCTGGTTTTGCGATGGCCACGTTCAGATCAGTTAACATCCGCCACGTTAGATGCAGGAACTCGAAGCGCTGTGGTGCATTCTCTTGAGGGCATGGTATGACATAGCGGGCATGTCTCGAATAGGGAATACCACGGAAAGACATGTATTACCGCTCAGATGTCACCTTATTGGTGGATCAAGATCTCTCTGCAGTTTGATGGTAGCAAAGAAGTATGTATCTAGAGACCCGGCTTGCATGAATATGCGGCACGCTTAGCTCTCTTTTCTCCCTGCGCCGTTACTCGACATCGAATGAGGTTAATAACAACAATCGCGACGAGAGTGAACAGAAGCTGGTCCGTGGCCTCGGCTCTTAAAATGGGACGGAACGACAAATGCACGGTTGTCAGGCAGGGATAGTCGACCGGTGCGGGTTGGGGCCATCGTCAAAGCGGGAAACCCCACTATCGACAAACCATCGCGCGCTAATGGGTGAGTTGCTGTTGTGAGCTATTCCATTAAGCCTCTGATAGTCAATAATATCTTGTTTTTTATTTCACGGGAAGCATGTCGAAGAGGCATCCTCGTCAGCTCATAGCTTATTCTGACTCGATGTCAATTGAACTTGGTGTGGATTATGGCGTTGTCGGGCGGGCCGAAATCGGCCAGAAAAAGTGTGATGACAATGCCTTTGGGAGTTCAAAGTCATCCAGGCCTGATCTATACAGAGATCGTAGGAGCACAGCGTCGTATCTCTGCATGCGCCTCTTTCAATTCCAACCCCGGTCTACTAATCCAACGGGTAGTCCAACTGAATCGAGACCGAAGCAGGCGCCTGCAGACTGCAGTATTGTCTCCCAGGGTTGTGACATGC